GTTAATAATTACTCGAGATATCGAGCGGACACTGTTTCGGCAAGTCCATAAAGGGGCATAACTCCACAAATTATGGTCGGATAATGGCGGTTATCGAACTTGTCCGAGCTTTCATGGTAATTAACCTTGTGGTGAAGTTTGAAGTTAATCCGTTTATAATTACTTGAGATATCGAGCGGACATCGTTCGCATGCCCGCCCGACTGCCCGCCCGCTCACGTGATAACATAATACGTCCCCGTCGAAGTTAATCCGTTAATAATTACTCGAGATATCGAGCGGACACTGTTTCGGCAAGTCCATAAAGGGGCATAACTCCACAAATTATGGTCGGATAATGGCGGTTATCGAACTTGTCCGAGCTTTCACGGTAATTAACCTTGTGGTGAAGTTTGAAGTTAATCCGTTAATAATTACTTGAGATATCGAGCGGACATCGTTCGCATGCCCGCCCGCCCGACCGCCCGACCGCCCGACCGCCCGCCCGCTCACGTGATAACATAATACGTCCCCGTCTTCGACGGGCGTATAAAAACCAAACCATACTGTCATAAAAATCCATTGAAGTTTCAACAGAAAATCGTGAATCTGTTGATATATAATCGTAAATATACATTGTAGTGTATTAAAGATGGCTTTATATCCTGTACAATATATTTTTAAAGAAGCCGAATTAAACAATGTAACAACATATAGACCTGTAGCCTGAACACCGATAAATTACATCATATGTTTATGGTATTTAAGACGAACTGATCGGTCAGAAATTAAAACTATAAATGCCGTCCAGGAGTGCCATTTGTCATGAGTCAATAACGTTTCGTCAAAATGTTCATCTAATTCCGGGAAATTGTGAAAGTAGTCTCTTTATAAACCTCCGTAACCAGTCATTTTGTCACAAGCCAAACTTTTTTTACCACTTCAATAGGTCTGTGATAAGGTAAGTATAATTTTGTTTATGTTATAAATAGCTGGTGATGTTTGCATCTTTAGATATTCCTGGTGAGGTTTAAGCTGCTAGAATTAGGTGGTGAGGTGTATGTTGTTAGATATAGCTGTTGAGGTCTATGTTGTAAGAGATAGCTAGTGAGGTTTATGTTGGTATATATAGCTGGTGAGGTGTATGTTGTTAGAGATAGGTGGTGAGGGTTACGCTAACAGATATAGCTGGTGAGGTGTATGTTGTTAGATATAGCTGGTGATGTGTGTGTTGTTATATATAGCTGGTGAGGTGTATGTTGGTATATATAGCTGGTGAGGTGTATGTTGTTATATATAGCTGGTGAGGTGTATGTTGTTAGAGATAGCTGGTGAGGTTAACCACGTTTTGTTTAGCTCGCTGTATATAAGTGCATCAGATTGGTGAGAAGCAAATGATGAAAGCTGATCTTTGTTTTTACAAACAGTATATAGATTCGTCTTCTTGCGATCAGAGAATTGGTTGGTTGTAGTCCTTTCTGTGTATTTACGGTAATATAATGTCATGCCTACCATGTAAAGCAATTTAAGCATTTGTGTACTATACAAGATTATATCATTTATACTATACAAACGGCCGTAATCAAATACTTAGATATAACCTTATATAGTTCCTTCCATTGCAATGCAAATGTTCTTGTGATACTATAACTGCATTTGGTACTGTAACGTCATCGATCAATGTTGTGACGTCACCAATTTCATTATTGTCAACACTTAATTCGAGTGTATAACAATTGCTTTTTATTATGTACTAATATTTTAAAGACGCCGAATTAACAATGCAACAACAGATCGGTCTGTAACCCAAACTCCGAGCAGGAACATCATATGTGTGTGGTATACATGACAACTTTACTGCTCGTTCTGCATTCAAAATGTTTATAGAATTCAACGAAGCTGTAGAAATAGTTTCCTATAAATACCTTCCGAGCTCGTCGTTTTGTCATACATGGAAGCCTAAAGCCCTTCACAACTCCAATACAGACTGTAATAAGAAGAGTTTCATTTTGTTTCTGTTAGAGATAACTGGTGAGGTTAATGGTAATTTTGTTTTGTTCGCATTAAATTCCCCATTTAGGCAACAGATACATAATCAAAGTTCGTCTTTGGTTTTACCTTACTCACCCAATCTTTGTTTTTGCTACTGTAAGGCGAGCACCTATGTAGGGTGACTTTATGTTACAAATTTGCAATCTGTTATATAAGCACGATGAAGATGCCAAATCAAATGAATTATATAAGTAACACATTTCCTTTTTAGGTATACAGATTGGTT